AATCAGACCAATTGTCCAATGAGGACAATTTATTATTTAAAATACATTACAAATACAATTTATATATGTGTGTGTGTGTGTGTGCATTTATATAAATATATTATAAATACAAAAAATAATAAATTTATTATTATAAATACAATGTATTTATTAGAAACCACTGTGGTTTTATTTTTATGTGTTTATTAGAAAACAGTAGTGTCTAATAAATACATTTAAAATCAAGGGTGGGGGGTGATCAATGGCAAAACCAGTTCATTTCCTTCAAAGAAGGGTGAAGGCAGCAATCTTACAATGCTGAAAGTCTTTCTAATTTGAGCTTTATTATTCTCAATCTCTGCTGAATAAAAATATTAAAAGTACCATGGACTACTAGAAGAATACGCAAATCTGTGTTAGAAGAACTATAGCTAGAATGCTCCTTAGAAGCCAGGAGGGAGACTTAGTCTCTCATACTTGGGACATGTTATCAGGAGGGACCTGTTCCTGGAGAAGGACATCATGCTTGGTAAAATGGAGACTCATCAAAAAAGAGGAGCCCCTATGGTCCCCAATATTGACACAGTGGCAGCAGCAATGGGTTCAAATGTAACAATGATTGTAAGGATGGTGCAGGACTGGGCAGTGTGTCCTTCTGGTTTTTTATAGGGTGGTTGTGTGTCAGAACCAACTGATGACACCTAACAAGTACACTCATACTCTCACTTCAAAGAAAATCAAGGTAAGCAAGTAGATTGAATTATTTGTTCTTGTTTAAGTACAAATCAGAGTCCTGGTGTGGCGCTGTGGGTTAAGGTCGGTTTGAACCGCAAGGCCAGTGATTCAAGCTCACCAGCCGCTCCATGGAAACTCTATACAAGGTTTGCTACGAGTCAGAACCAACTCCACGACACTTAACAACAACAACATGTCCAAATTGAAGATAGTTAATAAAATTAATAAAGAAACTTTATTCTTTTTAAAGTAAGGATTTTGCAGAAAATGAGAAAAATTTAAATTATCATATGGTTAAATGTTGTTTCCCCACTTAAGTGAATATATACATGCACAACAAAGAAGAATACAAAATTATATGCTAAGATACTTACAATGGCTCTATAAATAATTTCTCAGTAATAAGAAAAAACTACCTAGATCCCCATACATTTAAGAAATGATCTTAAAATAACAAAGAACTAGTGATTAATGGGTGATGGCTGCATATGGTAAGCACTGGACTATGAACCACAAGGTCTGAGGTTCAAGCCCACCAGCCACTCCATGGGAGAAGGATGAGGCTTTCTGCTCACTCAAAGATTTAAAGCCTTGGATAGAACCAACTCAACAACACTTACCAAGGGATAAACAAACAAAATAGTACATGATACATGATCTGGGTTCATTTAATAATTGCCTTATGATGTACCCAATAAAAATTATACACTGAAAATTGTATAAAAAGGTCTGTGTACAGTGCAAAGTGACAAAAAGCAGGTTATAAAAACACACTGATTAGACATGCAATGATGTCTGTGTGTAGACAAGTTGTGTGAGGTTATTAGTAAAACTGAAAATGCTTGTGTTGGGTTTTATAACATAATGAGTGACTAGTTTTTCATTAATAGCTCCACTTTTTGTTTTTACATCCTGTGTTTAATTTTCCTATAATTTCGCTTTAAAAAAAAGAAATATAGATTCACAGTAATAAGTTTGGTATCACTTTACTTTTTTATCTTATGGATCAGTTTTTTAAAGTATGCCCTTCCATTTTTATTGTACTTATTTTTATCATAAGTAAATATTCTCTAGTATCCGTTGCAAACCTGTGATCTTTAAGGGACTTTTGGACCCAAGATAAATCACCAAAATGCATTTAACTCACTAGGGGCTTTCAAATGGGGGTTTCCTTATTCTGGTTTCTGATCATCTCTGAAAAAATGGTTGTTCTCTACAACTGTCAGTTCTGTGAGTTGATAGTTATTTGACACCTTTACATAATTCTGGAAGCCTTCAGAGAGATTCCTTTGAAGTAACGACACTTCTAATACAAGACTTATTTAGAAATACATTACTTGTCTACTGCCCCAAAGAGACTTACTCAGAGGCAACAGCTACATCTCAGCTCCTTTTTGCATCTATTTCACCTCTCCTGCCAGAATCACGGCAAGAAAAAAAGTTGATCTTCTTCCAGATGAAACTCTAATTTGTCACTAAGGATGGTAATTGTGTTGTAGCATGAAAATAGAAGACATGCCCTTCATCTAATCATAGTTGGTGGGAGCTTTGATGTGCTGCTATGGGTTAATGCACTGGACTGCAAAGTTGGTTTGAACGACAAGGTTGATGGTTGAAGCTCACCAGCCACTTCTTGGGAACCCTCTACAGGGTTGCTATGGGTTAGAACTGACTTGACGGCACTTAACAACAACAATAACTATAGTTTGTAGTGGAAGCCCTGATGGTCTCCATCTACCATTTACTTTTTGTGTCTCAATGTTGTTATCATCTGTGTTTTTCCATCCTGGTTGCTAAAGTTTTCATTCATATTTCATAATTGTATTGAGCTCATAAAATTTCTCAAGTCATTTGTGTTAAGTAAAGTCCATTAAAAAAAAGAAAGAAATGCATTGTGACCCCATTTTGTGCTTCTTCGGTTGATTTAAGGAAAATGATTCAATTATATACTAAACCTTTATCTGTTGTCTTTGAATGGATTCTGATTCTCTGAGACCCTTACATATTATAAAGTAGAGCTGCTCCCTAGGATTTTTTTGGTTGTGAGCTTTATGAAAGCACATCATCAAGCCTTTTATCCACTCTGCTGCTGTGTGAGTTCAAACCACCAACCCTTCAGTTAGTTGTTGTTGTTGTTAGGTGCCATTGAATCGTACCGACACATAGTGACCTTATGCACAGCAGAACAAAACACTGCCCTATCCTGGACCAACCTCACTACTGTTGCCACACTTGAGCCCACTGTTGCTGCCACTTGGCCAATCCATCTCGCTGGGGGTCTTCCTCTTTTTCTCTGACCCTCCACCTTACCAAAGATGATATCCTTCTCCAGCGACTGGTCCCTCTTCAGTTAGTAGGCAACTACAAAACATTTGCACAACTCGGTGACCTATCCATGAGCCAAGACATTGTCTTTATTCTGTGTTCAAAACTGTTCTATACGATTACTTGTAAATGCCTTGGTTTCTTTTCCAAACCCTCTTTCTTCTCCCTCAAACATTGTTTGAAAACGATTGCTTCAAATGCTGTTTGGAGAGATGCTGACTGTCAGTGTCTCTCTGTCCATAGTTCTAGATCAGCCAGGACCCTTACTGGTGACGCCGTGTGCTACTTTAAAAATAAACGAACAAAAAGACTGTCCATAGCTATTTCTCACACAAAATTTTAAAATAAATTCACTTGTCCTTGTTGTTGTTGTTGTTAAGTGCTGTCAAGTCAGATCCAACTCATAGCGACCTTATATAGGGTTTCTGAGAAATGGCTGGGAGATTTGAACAGTCAATCTTGCAGTTCAGCGCAACACCAGGAACCCTCTGTCTCCTTTGTTGTTGTTGTTGTTAAGTGCCGTTGAGTCAGTTCTGACCCATAGCGACCCTGTACAGGGTTTCCGAGGGTGTAAATCTTTACGGGAGTAGAAAGCCTCATCTTTCTCCCACAGAGCGGCTGGTAGTTTCGAACCGCTGACCTTAAGGTTCACAGCCCGATTCGTAACCACTACGCTACCAGAGCTCCTTTCTGTCTCCTTTAGAACTATGTTAATATTTTGGGATTTCAAACTTATTTATTGTTACATGCCATAGAAATAATTCCCAGGAGCCTGGGGAAGAGAAGCAAACTGGTATAGGATGGGGTTGTGGGCTTACATTTTCACTAGAGAAAAAGAGGACAAAGGAAGAGAAAACAGGGCAGGCCTCCATCTAAGGACAGCTCATTGATGTAATTTAAATAAAATTTACTTCTCTGTTCCATGTAACTAGTAACCCCCTCAATTTTATTCATTATTGCTGGAGGAATCCTGTCCCTACTATTGTTTTCCCAAAGTTCATGCAATATGTAGATGCAAAGGCTGGAAGCAGACATTTTCTGATGACATGCACAGCGAAGTGACAGTGGGCAAGGGCTGGATGCAAGGAACAGGGCAAGAACGTCTTCCAAAATAACAAAAGCAAAAAAGAAAAAGGAAAAAACACAAGTCCATAGGCATCAAGTCAGTTCTGACTCACAGATACCCTTTAGAGGGTTTCTGAGACTGTAAATCTTGACTGGAGCCCACAGCTTCATCTTTCTCCCTTTGAGAAGTGATTAATGGGTTTGAGCTGCTAACCTTGAGATAAGCAGCCCAAAGTCTAACCCAAAGAGCCATTATAGAGGGAAAATGAAAGATACATTACAAACATGAGGTGGCAGGGTTATGACTGATTTTTTGTTTGTTTGTTTGTACTCTTCTTAATTTATAAATTTATTTAAGAAACTTTTATTCCCTAGGCTATCCATCATATACAAACATTATATTTAATTTACGATATTATATAATATCATAGCTATTATAATAAATATGTGTTGTAGTCTTTGGTGTATGTAATCTTTGTGTGGGTGAATGCGCTGGACTGAGATTTGCAGCCCAACCAGTAATCCACGACAATCTGGACAGAAAACAAATGAGCAAAAAGAAACTAAAAACGTACGTTGTGCCAGTGATTCTTCTTAAGGAGAGGGATTTATAGGAAAGAAACAAGTTTTTCTCTTTTGTGATAGAAGGTACACAAGGATCCGGGGTCCCCTTTAGCCCCAGATAGGTTTTCTGAAACTTCAGCTTTAATAACAACTGCCTTAGTGCTAGGGATTCCCTAACTTTGAGAACTGTCACACCCACACCTATCTCCTTTGTAAAGTTGGTGTGTAAGGTTGGCCTAGCAAATGCCCTCCTTTCCCCAGCCAGTGTCTCCCACCAGCCACCCCTAAACTTCCCAGGCACTTCCCCAAATGTCAGCCAACCCCTTGCTCACCCCTTCCCACAAAGCGCCTAGAGCTCGAGCCCCCCAGAAAAGGGAGTCCCTCTGCACCTTGAGAATCTCCACCACAGGAAAGTCCTAGCCGTCCCCCACCCCCGCGCGTCCCCAGCCCCCGGAGACGGACCCGCAACCGGGTCCCCTGGCACTCCAACCCCGCGCCCGCCCAGGGAGGAGGACTCACCAGAAGCAGACGATCCCAGAGTTCAAGCATGGCCGCGGGACAATCCTTCCAAGGGAACGAAAAATGAAAAGAGAAAAAGGAAACTAAAACAACCCCACCCTGCACAGTGATTCGGTCTTAAGGAGAAGGATTTCCAGTAAGTAAACAATGTGTCTCATTTTAAAAGATACATCGTTCAGTAAACGTTAGTTTCAGGAAATCCCAGGATGCACCAGTCTTAATTCACACAGTTTTTAAGCACACAGTACAGAAAGAGGAAACAGAAGCGATTGAGGAAGGTATCATATGGAAATTTTGTGTTATGTTTGCAACTCTTAGGTAAACCTCAAGTGATTTTAAAATAAAAAGCTTATTTAATTAAGACATTTCAAAAAAGAAGTGAGCAAGGAGATGAGAATTACTGAAACAATCACCTTCTCTTGAGTGTGAATTATAATCCAAACAACGTTTGCAAATGACCTTTTCTTATGTAATATGTATCATTGTCTCCCAGTGATTCTTAAATTTACTTTACAAATAGAGAATTGAAAAAGGAAAAAAAAAATTCTATTAACTAGCAAAATTGGCTAGTGAATAAATACTAAAGCCAGGAATTAAACCTAGTCATTCTTGCTCTGGGAGACCTGGTGTGGCACTGTGGAATAATGCCCTGGACCCCAGGTCTGTTTGAACTGCAATGTCATTGGTTCAAATTCACCAGCCGCTTCTCAGAAACCCTATACAGGATCGCTATGAGTCAGCACTTTAAAACAACTTTCTTGCTTTGAAGGCCCTGCTTTCTCCCCTCCAGGCCCTACTTATGTGGTGGTGTGGTTCCGTACCCAATGTCTCTCAAGTTCCCTGAAAGAGTTAACAGGTACTTTGTGGAGAAAACTGTGCCCCACGCTCAAATCGTTTCAGAGAATTCTAAGTTGATTTAACTGAAATATTTTTTCTTTAGTCCAAAACATTTCAGAGTCTTTAATATATTAACATATGTTGTAAACATCTAAGAGGGGCAATGATGTACACCCATTCCTCACTTAACAACATGTTTAAGTTCCAAAGACCAGGCTGTTATGTGCAAATTGGCATTATGCACATCAGACCACCACAATGAAGGATGACTACAGTATTACAGAAACATCCAAACCGCCTCCTTCCAAAACACTGACAATCCTGGCCATCACAATCAGCATGACTCAAACCCCGACATTTGGTACTGACAGATTTATGTCATTAATTCCCAAAATAGTCAATTCGACGATTTTACTTTTGTTATAAATGTGAAATGTCAAATAACAAGATAGTCAATAAGTGAGGGTCAGTGGGCACTATTGTCCAAATGTGTTTACTGTGGAAGCCTTTGAAAAGAAAATAAGGTGTTCTGGAGAAAATAAGGTGTTCTGGAGAAAATAATCTCCAAAGTTATTTTTATTTTAGCAGTGCATTCTTGAGGGTCCCCAGTTCTTTAAGGACAAAGGAATATGATTTTAATGATAGAATGTGGTGCCCTAACAGATGTGAGAGATAGTGGGATAACAATCCTGATTCTACTCTAACATACTCCGAGTGTCTCTAAAACTACCCTTGCCTCTGAACATCTCACTCTGAATATCATTCAAACTCATATCTGACTATGCAAATGATGAGGGAAAAGAAGCAACCCTTTCACCCTCAGGTCGACTTTTATTCCATTCTTCCCACAGACAATTTTTTAAAAATTGTTTTTCATAAGTAGTAATAAATTGGGTTTAATAATTCCATCTATAGTGGTCACCCAGGACTTTTTCCTACATCTTTTTCTGCTTTCAGCATTTCCAAGTTGCCTTTGGAAAGCTGCCCGTCTCCCCCTCTTTTTAGTTATTTGATATGGATTGTTATTGTTGTTGTTAAGTGCCATCGAGTCAATTCCGACCCATAGCGACCCTGTATAGGCTTTCCAAGGAGCAGCTGGTGAGCTTGAACCGCTGACCTTGCAGTTCAAACGTCATTGCAGTCTGGTGCACAGTGTGACTCAAATCCTAGATCCAGATTATATGTATAGGGGAGAAGGGGAAGAAGATGGGGGCAGGGAAATCCAGTTACCTCAATTCACTGGGCACATCACATCAAATCAGAGTCAACCTCATAACTTTGCTGGAAACACTGGAATTCAAACTAAACTTTTCTCCATTACACTTAAAATGGGAGGCTGTGGGGCTAGGAAATAACAGGGTTGAGAAGGGAGCTAGTGGGTCTTCCAGAGCTGAAGATGGTCATCCCACAGGAAACAATATGAGAGGCAGTGCCTGCTAGTATCTCCAGAGGCCTGGATCGTTTCAATCCTGAAATCTAACCCTGGACTGCGTACAGTTAGCCAATTCTCAGTTTTTGATTAAACCCGTTCTTGTAACTAAAGAATCCTAATTAATATATCCTCAGAGTTTATATATATATATATATATCAGAAAGATGTTTACCTATGCTTTATTGACTACGCAAAGGCTTTCAATTGCGTGGATCATGACAAGCTATGGACAGCGTTGTGAAGTATGAGTATTCCGGAACATTTAATTGTGCTCATGAGGAATCTGTACCTGGACCAAGAGGCAGTTATTTGAACAGAACATGGGAACACTGAATGTTTTAAAATTGGGAAAGGTGTATGACAAGGTTGTATTCTTTCACCATACTTATTCAACCTGCATGCTGCGCAAATAATACGAGAAGCTGGGTTCTATGAAAAAAAATGTGACATCAGGATTGGAGGAAGACTCACTAACAACCTGCTATATGCAGATGTCACAACCTTGCTTGCTGAAAGTGAAGAGGACTTGAAACATTTACTGATGAAGATCAAAGAACACAGCCTTCAGTATGGATTGCATATCCATGTCAAGAAAACAAAAATCCTCACCACTGGACCAATAAACAACATTCTTATCAATGGAGAAAAGATTGACGTTGTCAAAGACTTCATTCTTCTTGCATCAACTATCAACATTCACAGAAGCAGCAGTCAAGAGATCAGACGATGTATTGTGAAAGCTGGACAGTGAATAAGGAAGATCATGGAAGAATTGATGCCTTTGAATTGGGGTGTTGGAGGAGAATACTAAAAGTGCCAGGGGCTGCCAAAAGAACCAATAGATCTGTTTTGGAAGAAGTGCAGCCAGAGTGCTCCTTGGAGGCCAAGATGGCTAAACTTCATCTATCATACTTTGGACATATTGTCAGGAGGGAACAGTCACTGGAGAAGGATATGCTTGGTAAGATGGAAGGTCGGAGAAAACGAGGAAGACCCCCAATGAGATGGATCAGCCAGGTGGCATCATTGATGGACTCAAGTGTGGCAGAGGTAGTGAGGTTGGCCCAGGATCGGACATTGTTTCGTTCTGCTGTACATGGGGTCGTTATGAGTCGGTTCCGACTCGATGGCACCTGACAACAACAACAACAACAAAGTTTATTTATGATCAGCATGATAAATTCCTTATTACTAATATTAATTGTTGCTAATTCTTGTTGTTGGGTGCCCTTGAGTCTATTGTGACTCATAGTGACTCTGTGTGACAGTATATTAACTTCCTTGTTGACGATAATCTTTATATAAGCAGGAGATTACCAGACCCTTCTCTTACAGACTGACTGGGTGTCTTAAGCTTTCTAGAGAAGCAAAAGGAGTGATATATATTTAAAACACACACACACACACACACACACACATATATATATATATAAAGAGAAGTCTATTATCAAGAGAATGGATTAAAATGGCAGAGTCCCAGGTGGAAGAGAGACTTTCCAGTGTGTCCATTATATTGGCAGCAGGCCACACCCCTAAGGAAGTTTCCCTTCAACTGATTGGCTGCTCATAGCCACTCACCATAGAGTTAATTATGCCTGTATTGGGTTTCATCATCATGGGAACAAGCACATCTCAACCACTGTTGCTGTTAAATGCCATCTAGGTGGTTCCAATTCATAGAGACCCTATATAGGGTTTCTGAGGAGCGGCTGCTGAGTTTGAACTGCTGACCTTGTAATTCACAACAACCTTACAATCCAGTGCATTATCCTGCAGTGCCACAACAGGATCTCAACTGCTAGCCCTCTGAAAATCCTGGCCTAGTAGAGATGGCACAGAACCTTAATTATTGCACTGGGCATAGTCCAACCATCAACATTTCCATTAGCAGCCAAGCGCTGAACCCTTGAACCACCAGGGCCTCTCTATTACAAATGTGCAATTATGATTTCAGGCTGAAGTAAGGGCAATTACCTAAACAATCCTGTGGAGATGGCTGAACGTCCAGGGACCTTACACTTACTTGTACCAAAGTCTGTTTTTAGTTCACTAGAGGTAGTCAGAGCCTACATCAGTCAAATGACTAAACAGATTGAATCTAGGAAGAGGAAGGAGGGCTATGATTTAGATAGACAATCTGTGGTAGCATAGTGGTTATGAGTCAGGCTGCCAACCTCAAGGTCAGCAGTTTGAAACTACTAGCTATTCTGTGGGAGAAAGATGAGGCATTCTGCTCCTGTAAAGATTTACAGCCTCAGAAACCCTGTGCAGGGTCGCTGTGAGTTGGAACCGATTCCACAGTACTTAACAACAATATAAGAATTAATATACAATATTATCCTTCGGGAGTCCTGGTGTGGCGCTGTGCGTTAATGCGCCAGACAGCAAAGCCGTTTGAATGGCAAGGTCAGCTGTTCAAGCTCACCAGTTGCTCCTTGGAAACTCTATACAGGGTCGCTATGGGTCAGAACTGACTCGACAGCACTTAACAATAACAAGAAATTCTCCTTAGAGAATTCTCTGAGGAGAATTGTATAGGGTTTCCGAGGAGCAGCTGGTGAGATTGAACCACCGACCTTGCAGTTCAAACAGCTTTGCTGTCTGGCGCATTAATCCATAGCACCAAACCAGGACTCCCTAATGAGAATACTGTATATTAATTCTTATATAGTCAAAGAAATGATATGTGCAAAGTATTTAGCACTCTTCAATGATTACTAGTTACTAGAGGCAGTTGTTTGAACAGAACATGGGACCACTG